ATTATCATCTAGTTTATGTAATCCGATCTCATGTAATCATAATTGTAATATCCTTAAATTAGGTTTTTAGGGTTCATGGACATTTTTGCCCAAGTCATAAAATCCATCAAATGGGTGATTTGGTTGAGATTATAACCATGGACACCACTTAAGGGAGGTAAGACAAAAAAAACATAACATTTTATCTCATCAATTTCTACGTTGGATTTTTACATATTTCACAAACTCGATTTCTAGGTTGAAAAATAGAGAAATTATACTCTACAACACTTAATTTTTTAACAACTTGCACTAACTGAACCAAGAAAACTTTAGATTTAATCCTAGGAGCAAAGAAAGATGGGAATCAACATTACGGATACTCCTTGATACAAAATAGGACTTGAATGAGATGAGGGAAGGGAAAGTACATCTTATTTTCCAAGTGTTTACCATTTGGTCCCCCAAGTTTGCTCATTTTGTCAATTCCCGCCATGAACTCATCTTTTGTGATTTTAACATATGTTTTGACATAATACATCTTTCCTCGTCCATTTTATAACTTGTGTAGTCCTTTCTATTAATTGATTCAACCCTTTGGTCAACTTACTTTCCCAACTTGTCAATTCTGGCCCTTGAACTTTTAAATTCTTATTATTTCCACTTTTAACTTTCTAACTTTATATCAATTAATGATATGATTAACCGATAATTATTTATTATATAAATCATTTTTCATTTACTTACTTCATTAATTTAAGAACCTAGTCTTAAATTTTTGGATATTACTATGTACTCACCTTAATTGTGTACACAATCCTCCAGTGAATTTTTTAAAGATATATAAGGAATATTGAAAGCATATATGAAATCATCAACTCTCCAACACGATAATTAGGTTTACAAAGTTTAGTTATTACATCTAAACTCATAAACACTTAGTATGTGATCATAAGGAAACAATAGGAGCAATAAAATGACCACCCAATATACCGAAAGTAAAAATATCATAGACTGTGACATTTGATAGCATAAAAAAATGACTCGCATTATTTTAGGCATGATAAGTATGACCTATGCGTTTTCCCAAATAAGCACTTACAATAAGAAAAAAAAAACATGATAAATGACCACCCCAGTCATTTAAATTGACTTTAATCCATCCAATTCGAATTCTAATGAACTAAGATGGATAAGTAGATTTCAAAACTTTATCCAAACATAAAATTATATGTTGATTAATATCATTGCTATAATCAGATCATAATTCTACAAGATCATCACATAATTTCCAATTTAGACTTCTAAAACATCAAAGTTGACTTAATTAATTTTCATTTTGCTTTTCAATTGGAATAAATATGCCTAACTCCAAAATATAACTAAACTATATTAACAAAGCTTAATTACAATCTAAACAAGTCTGACCAAAAACTTCATTAAAACATTATAGATCCATCATTGACCTAATTATTGGTTTTGAATACCATGAATTGGAGTTTTATGTGACAACTGTCAATTCAGGTCATTCTCGGACTCATGCATCTTTATAAAAACCATTCATGCACAACATGTCATGGCCTATTAGTATAAATTAGGTCAAAATTGTAACAACCCGATATTTCAACTCTTTGTAATGGCCTAATAGGTCAAGTATTGTAGCCACTTTTGAGTTAATAAAATTAACGTTGATATTAAAATGTCCAAAAAGTTTCTATTTAACTACCCACTATGTTTTATATCATTAAACCGGGATCGTACGTAAAAAGAATACCCAAATCCGGCTTCGTATATTGAAGTTAAGATTTTTCCAAATTCGGCTTAGCAGCAGACAACTAAAAACTCGAATCGGAGATCGAGCGACTTTTGGACGGAATGACTTAAACGAGAATCGAAAGTCTCAACAATGGTATTTCAACGGTAAAAAGTCTGGCAAAAACCGACATCAGATAAAGAAGTTATGAATTGTTTAAAGAAATTTCTTAATCACAACATTTTATAAATAAACAATAAAAATAATTTCGGAATTTGCCGACGGAATCTAAACGAAAGTTGTAGAGTATGGTCTCACCTTCGCGGGGATATAATGAACGTCAAAAACGGAGTTCGTGTGAAGAAGATATGAATTTTTGAAGTTTGTTAAATAAATTATATATTTATTCAATTCAAAATCCGGTATTATCCGAAGGGGGAGTCAGCGTACTCATCCGAGTTACGCGCCGCGTAACCCCGTACGCCCCGCGTACGCGAAGGCCTTGGCCTCGGATCGTCCACATCGCACCTGTGCGAACTACCGACCCGTCCCATCCGAGCTCAGAGGTAGTCGAGGACTTGGTCACGCATGACGTACGCGTACGCCCAGCGTACGTGCGTACACCCCGCATAACGAGGCCTCTCAGCCTCCTATAAATAGAGATGTGAGGGTTCCGGAAAATTCACCCCATCTCTCTCATTTCTCTCACGATATTGCCTCGATTTCCGTGCCCGCACTACCCCGAAGCCCTGGTCATTTTGCTCAAGTCCCGAAGGTCGATTTTACTCCCGAGATTCCCGAGAAAAATCTGTTTCCCGAGATGAAACTCTGCCCGGTTTTTCCATCTCGCTATCTTTAAACTTTCAAGTGAGTTCATACCCCTTAAATTAACCTTTTTAATATTCTAAACGCTTTTATATGCTTTCTAAGGGGCGAAATACAAGTAAAACACACGCCTACTATCGGGTGTTATATATAAAGATTATTATACACTTTTATTAAGTAGAATCATATGTGATTTATAAACTTTATATGGAACTCCCGTATACAAAATATATTACAATAGCATTCTATCTTTAAAACTATAAATTGTTGTAATGCATGTATAAACTAAACATTTTTCCTAGATTTAAAGTATATGTGTCTATCTTAGGCTTTACAAAAATCTATGCTTTCGTAACAAGTGTTTCCTTTTCTATATATTCTAAAACAAACGAGGCACACTTTTAGAAAACTATGATAGGTATAGTTTTATGAGGATATTGCTAACTTTTACATACTAGAAACATGATTTTCGAAAAATCACTTTCATATACAATAGCGCAAATGAACATTTTAACACGTAAATCTGTTTTTATACTATGGTTCTATGAGACATTAACTTCACGTACATTCGAGTACACATTTCAAGTCCTGTATTATATACCAGAATCCATTGGAGGGGGAGCATGGTGTTTGTGTATAGATCTATACGGGCTTGACAACCCACGCCCTGATTGTTAGCTACGGTCCACCATTTGGGGTGACAAACGTCATAACATTCCAACGCCTAAAGAACGTTGTGTATAGGCATTCCGAGTCAATAGCACTACTAGAAAAAAGGCCTTTTACGACGCTCATTGCGCGTCGTAAAACGCTCAGACGATGCGCAAATGCGCGTCAAGGAAGGCCCTGTCATAAAGAGAGATGACGCGCTTTTGCGCGTCATCTATAGACGACGCGCATTTACAACGCGCATTTACGACGCGCGGTTATGACACGCAATGCGTATCAAGAAAGGCCCTGTCATAAAGGAAGACGACACGCATTTGCGTGTCGTAACCTTACGACGCGCGTGTTTATGACACGCAATGCGTATCAAGGAAGCACCAGTCAAGAAAGGCCATGTCATAAATGAAGACGACACACATTTTTGCGTATCGTAATTTTAATTTTTTTTTTAATATATTTATGTTTTATTAATTTATAAATTAAATTTGCATTTAATCTCTCATAATAGAAATAAAATACCATATACAAAAAATACAATCCATTGCATTCAGTTTGTATGTATAACAAAGACACATGTGTTAAACTTGTTACCATTAACATATAATTGTATGGACTCGAGTGTTAAACTTGTTACCATTAATATCTGATTCACAAGTCCTTTCAACAAGATTGTTACCTGCATAAATGAAAACAAATAGGAACATTAACAGCCCAGCATGCTCAAGGCTCATCAATACAACAAAGGAGACAAAAGTAATGTAATAAGCCAAACATTAAAACCAAACATTAATATAAGAGATGGGAAATCTTTTACCTGAATATAACTAGCACCAAACAAACCACCATTTCCTAGCTGGAACTGAGACCGATGCAATGTGACTAAAAAAACACAAATCACTCTCAAATTTCACTTACCCCTTTCACATTCACATAACACCAACCAACCTACTTATAAGTTGCTAATTATCTAGGCTATTTTTCTTTTTCTCTTGATCAAAATAACATGTTTATGCCCAAGTCAATTACAGAATTGTATTCCTTAGTATCATGTGGACACAACAGTTTACCGAATGTGAATTGAATATGACAAACAAGCATTTATATTCTCATGAAATCAAAGATAATTTATAATACTTTTCTAAATAATTAACAAACTTGATGTGTCAAGACACATAAGGATAATTTCTGCAACATTATATTCTAACAAGCCCTACATTAATCACAACATTAAACCAAAATCGACCAAAAACTCACATAAACAATCAAATCAAATATAAACACAGGCTTGATTTCATATTCAAACAGATTAAGAAAGGCAGCAAACACTGTTTGTGATTTAGAAACTAATAGCTTAATCCTCAATTCATATTAGCATAGTAACAAATGTGCACTTATATCGTTTTTCCCTTTTGAACATTCACTTTCCAACAGATGCTAAAAAAGCTGATACATTCTTAGTGGATGCAACCTAAACAAAACTGTCACCATACACAACAGATGCTGAAAAAATTGAATAATTTATCTTTTGCTGCAACTGGATCATACAAAGCTAGACACACTTTTATATGGTTCAAACATAAACTTATTGTGTAATGAGGATCCAAATGGAATGATTCAGCCACCCCATACTCCTTTGTCTATCTCGCCTCTATAATTTATTTCACCATTCAAGAGAAGGGTATACGAGGTTTCGTAGACGTTATGAATTAATTTATCCTTTATTCTACTTCCTTTATTTGAAACAATCTCATCATAAAACGTTCAACATTTCAACATATTATACGACCTAATGCACCAAAATTCAAGTGATGTAAAACAATAAAAGTTGCTTTGAAAGTTCATAAATAAATAAAAAAAATTACCTTTTCAAATTCTGCATAAACTTCTGCAGGAGCTATGGTCATCAAAGTTGACAAAGCAAGTACTGCAGCTTCTTGTTCCAAATGACTAGTACTCATCAACCCCATTGGTCTAGGCAAACCCTACATATTATACCACAACCAAGGGTTAATAATAATTAATAATATATAAAAGATAAGATAAAAAGTAATCAATAAAAAAATATCAACACTCGGAATCAATGATTCCACAGGTAAAAAAAACTTACAATGGAATCAGAACGCTGCAAAGGGCTTTTGGAATCAGCTCTACCATGGGAATAGGGTGATGATGTTGATGCTTTCTAATTTCCTCCTCCTTCAGGGCTTCTGCTTCTAGAAGGTGACCTACTCCTACGTGGAGGAGACCTGCTTCTGTGTAATCCATCAGTTTATTGACACATCACATGATAAGGGCATTCTAGTCTTTTCAACACTAGTACTTCTATGTAAGTAACAAACACATATAGAATAGTGAATAGTCCATCAGGTTTCTAATGAAACATCAACTTTAAACAGACAAACAAAACTTTTTATGGATGCTATTTTTAATGATAAGGGCATTTACGGCTTTTTACCTTATATGAGACCTACTTGGGCTTCTCTCATCATCATAATCATCATCATTTCTACCCCTCTTGTTTCTTCTATGATAATCAGGGCTCCTACTCCTACTGCATGAGGGTCCTACTTCTGTAACGATTTTTGTCCCTTCCATAATACCTGTCCCTGCTACTGCTGCGACTTATCCTCCTGTAGCCCTTGTATTCATCTCTATACCTGGAACTACATTGGGTAAACATCAACTCCAATACAAGGGTAGAATGGTCAAAACTACATTCTCATCATACCTTGGTCTAGGACTTCGGCTCCTTAATCCACCCTTCAGCTTTTCTACTGGTTCAAGTATCCTTCCCTTGTGACTAAAACAAGAATAAAAACAACCACATTAGTCAAACAACCATATACTTTTTCATATCTGATTCTTGGAATTTAGAAATATATTAGATTATATGTGAATGTGACTCACATTTTTTCAGCATTAGGCCCATATTTGGCAAATTAAACCATCATCTCTCTTCTATCAACAACTCTTCCTGAAAGGTGTAGAACAAAAGTGAAATCATGGTGAAGTGATGATATTGGATAAGTGTTATAGCTATTATATATTATTAAAAGTGATAAAGAAGAATCAGATCTGGAAGTCCAAACACTTAACATGGAATCGAGGGCTTAAGGAAGAAATCAAGCATCGGTGACTTTTCTCCGGATAAAAACAATTTCCCGCCAATTTCACAAATCGGCGTTCCAAAACCAAAATTCCCGATCCCAATCGCATTTCTGTGGAATCCAATTTGCCAATTTCACGTTTCAGGTATCGATTTAAAGAATTGGTGGGATCGCAAGTATGACGTACCGGAGGGCGTTTCTGTCGGCGATCGGTACGCAATCGTACCCCGTTTGGGATCGAGCCGTTTGGAACGTGGATCGTGTGGGAGATATGGTGGTTCTAGTAGGTAGAAGTGAGGGAAGAAGTAGGCAGCAGTCAATGTCGGGAGGGGGAAAGAAGGAGCGTCCATAATTTGGGCAAGAGGGAAAGGAGAAAAAAAAAAGGAAGGCGGGATTTTTAATTTTTTCAGAATTTCATTTCCCCCTACTGTTAAAGGATGGAACGCGCGTTCCATTAAAAACTATAAAGCGACATCCTTAGACGACGCGCATTTTATTATAGGTGCCCTCCGTGTTTTTTTTAGACACTGATTTAAGGGCGCGCAATAATGCGTGTCTTCTATCCTTCAATTTTTTGAAGAGATGACATTTTTCTAATGTCACTCTTCTTTGCGTAACATAGATCAATGAGCGTCGTATTTTGCGCGTCGTAAAAGGCCTTTTTTCTAGTAGTGTAGTATGGTTATAAAACTCACATGAGGTATTAAAAATACATTGATTTACGGGGTTTTCAAACATATTGGTTATTTTTACACTTACATACAATTTTTGGAAACAAACTTTGGTCTTGAAGGAAGACTACTTTTATACTAGTAGAAAATATAGGATTTTCTAAACACAAATCAACAAGGACAAGACATTTCATTTCATACAAACATTGTCATTAAATACTTATGAAACTCACCAGCTTAAATGCTGATCTACTCTTTCAAAATTACTTCTATGTCCCAGGGATTCAGTAACTACAGGTATCATTATGCTTTTGATGAAGGAATGCTGTGGCGCTAGTTTAATCTCATATTTTGACATCATATTTGTAATTGGTTTTGAACATGTAACTTTTGACAAATGTAAACTTTCAATTATATATATGATGGTCGTATTACTATCTTTACTATGTATTCATTTGTTACGTTATAAGATGAAGTAATCCGCCCCCGAACGTTTTCGCCGTTCAGGTTTGGGGGTGTGACAAAAATCTTGCATAAACTAGCATCCAACTAAAATCTAGGACTAATATACTTGACTCTTACGATTCTAGTAAGTTGTTTATCTACAATAGGAAATGCCAATACCATAATTAGAATAAAACTTCAAACTTTGTTACAATTGCAAAAGGGTATAAAACCCTAAAAATAAATTAAAATATTCTAATTTCATTCCAATATGATGGTGAATATCAAACAATGTTCCAAAAACTCTAAAGAGCCAAAAATCCAAATTTATAAACTTTAAAACTTAAAAACTCTATAAAACTTGCTATAAACTTCCTAATATCAAATTTTTAATAATCAAATTATGGGTTATAATCAATGAAATAAAAATTTAAATTATCAAACATTAATCATAATTTATTAGTTAAAACAAGATTTTTAAATAAATCAATAATTACTTAAAGAAACACTTTTATAAAAATTAGGGTTTTATAAAAATTGAAGAGGGAAACGTATAAAATTTAAATTTAGGAGAGAGAGGGCCTTTAATACACTCAAAATCCGGCACCCCCTCTCCCCCATGCTCTCTCTTCCCAAAACTTCAATCATTAAACACAATCCCTACACTTCCACTTCTCTCTTCACTCTCTCTCACACACTCCACCCTTTCAACTCTCAAACTCTCTCTTCCTCTCTCCAAACCCACGAAAATAATCAGACAAGAACACCTCTCCACACTCAAATCTTCATCTTCTAAGGTTATTCTTCAAGGTATTCACGAAAATCCTTCATCTTCCCTTACTTTTCCTTCTTGTTTTAAAGGGTTTTCTTGTACTTCTCATATTTCTACATCATTCCTTATGAACATTCATGAACATGTCCATGAATGTCGAGTTTGATGATGATGGTGGTAGGGTTTCACCCAAGAACAACATGCATGTTGTTTAATGGTGAAATCCAAGGACCAAAACCTATGTCAAACACTAAAGTTCGGATTTTTACAAGTTTTAAAGGTTCATACACCTTATGAATTCAAGTATTTCCTTTAAATACATCATTATGACCAATATATGTCCATGCATGGTCTTCAAACCGTGATGCATGTGATGTACACCAAGCTAAAGAGCTTGATGATCATAGTACATTACTAATAGTGCATGTAAATGATTTTGTTTATAAAAATATCTAAAAGTTCTTTACTATTCAAAATAAAAAATTTCCAGATTCCCATTAAGGTAATATGAATATCTAGAAAATTCCAAGACTTTTTATCATTTCCTTGATTTATTAAAATTGTTACAAGAAAACAAGGGCATAAATCGCATAAAATACTTTCAGAGGTGTATATATAAATCCTGAATTAATTCATGGATGACCCCCATGGTGAATAATGACCTCTCATTAAGTTTGATCGATTTATGTTGTTGTTTAGTACGATTTTTGATTTTCTTTTTGTTTGGGTCCAATAAATCACAAAACCACTTTAGGGAGCGTAAAAAATTCATCTAACAATTTTCTCAGCTCTTACCTGAAGTAGGAGACTCGTAAACATAATTGCATAATTTTTCATCATGCCTTTCTATATTTCCTAATTTTTGGTAATTATAATGGCCTAAAAATAGGAAAAATAGTTCTGATCATCTAAAATTCATGAACATTTACTAGAACATCTTGTTGTACATTTGGAGGTTACATAAAACTTTTGATGATTTTTCTCTTCTGTATACTATTTTTCTCCTATTTTCTATGGTTAAATACACTTAAATATACATAAATACCCAAAACCGGATTATACAAGATGAAAATCACTTTTGGTATTTTTCCCAGATCACTTATACTGTAAATGATGTTACAAAAAAATTTGGTAATTTATTTCAACTGTTTATTATTTATTCTTCAATTAATAATTAATTAAGGGGATAAAACAAAGAAAAATAGAAATACCCACTGAAAAATATCTTTTATATTTTTACCAGCTTCTATATGTATAATAACAGTAAAATAAAAAGTTTGGGTAATTTTGGAAACTGTTTTCTATTTATTTTAATTTTTATTGGAATAAATGCTCAAAAATCATAACATTTAGTTAAACATCTTGGAAATCCATTTTTATATTTTTCCCAGCTTAGTAATGTGTAATAACAGTAAAATAAAAAGTTTGAGAAATTTTATCCATTGAGTGCTGTTTTTGGTGAATTTATGTTGTTATGAAGGCTTAGAATTTTGGAAAATAGTTAACCATATCAAAAATTCAAGGAAAATTTTCTGGAAATCCTCTATTGTATTTAGAATGAAAATACAAGGTTTGACAATTTTTGGAAACTATTTGATAATACTTTACATTTTTAGGAATTTAAAACACCTTTAAATGTGTTGAAATATCCTCAATTTATATTACTAAATCTGGAAAATTAATATCCCAAATTGTTTCAATCGCACGACTTATAGAATTTCATCATTTCAGAAAAATTGTAACCAATTAATATAAAATCCAATACTAAAACATAAGATTGGCATTTCACTATATGTAGAGTTTAGTATATTAGCATTAGATTTCGACATGGAAAGTCACTAGTGTGTGTTTGATGTCGTAGGATCCCGGTATTAAGACGTGGTGTATTCCGAGGCACCACTCGTACCTACTCGAAACATTGTGAGTATTCACGCACTCCCCTATTCTCAATTTTTATGTTCTGGGGTGGAAAAGCATGTCCCGAAAAACTATTATTTGAATGTTGTATTTAAATTGATTTGTATCAAACATGATTTCTATTTTATTGTTATATCTCTCTATGTATGTCTATGCAACACGAAACATGAGAACTTATCGTATTAAGGCCCTTCCCTTATCTCTAACCATTAACTCTTTGAGCCAATGGCCATTATGGATAGCGCTATTAGGAATTGACAACTCCTCACTCGCCCTGTTGCTGGAGTGCATGATACCATATTCATCTTGTTGGATAAGGTGTCTAAGTCCATAACTTATTTGGTATATACTTGA